AACGTAAAATAGTTATTCTTTTTCTGTTAAGTAAGTTAATCAACTAATCGATTTACTCCAAACTTTTAAACCAGGATAGATGTGTTAATGTTGTTGTGTGTGTTTTAGGACATAAATCAGTGTTTACTGTATGTTTTGTCTGGCAATTAATACACACGTGATGTGTGTGTGTGTTGTGTGTGTGTGTGTCTCCTGGGCTTAATGTCGGCTATCTAAAATTCCATGTGCGCTGGCGTGGTGGGCGGCGTGGTGGCGGCGTGGTGGCGGGTGTGGTGGTGGCGGCCCCCGGGCCGATACACAGGCCGGATTTGTGTTGGAGTTTGAGCTGAAGCCTCTTTATCAATCGTAACACCGTCATTAAATATTCATGCAGTCAGCTGGAACAACCCGACCTGCTCACTGCACAAAAAGTTTTGCACAAAATGTATTAAAATATCAGCTTAAAAATTAATGAGCTTTAGTTTATAATTACAGAAGAAGCGGGGGATGCGGGCAAACCTCCCCCCCCTCCCTCCCTCATTGGTTCATAGCAGATTGCTCCTCTGATTGGCCTTTGTATTTTCCCTTTTTTCTGCAGATTTTTCCATGCTTTGAAGACCTTCAAAGCGAGCGCGAAGCATGAACAGGTCATTTAGATGGATTTTAAGCACAATTATCATACATTGCTGTAATTGTACATGAATAATAAGAAGAGCCGCCGCGCTCCCCCAAATTAGCTCTGAGTGCCAAAAAGAAGATCAGAGGGAGGGGGGCGGGAGAGGAGGGGGGAGAGAGAGGAGAGAGGAGAGGCAAGAGGAGACCGGAAAATAGAAATTTCAAAGTGAAGAGGAATTAATTCAATAAACTGTAATTCAGGAGACGGGAACTGGAGCCGGGAGAATTGCTGGCTAACGCTGGTTAGACAAAAAAATAAAGTTGTTAGTATATAAAAACTGCCTTCAGCTTCATCCCTGTGTCCACTTCACAGTAAGAAAAACCGCTTCAGCTGAAAGAAAACAACAATAAAACTTCCACTGGGACTTACTGGGCAGCTGTTTCAACAGCTGGTTCACAGTCAGAAAAAAACGCAGAAATGGTAATTCGCTTTATGTTTGATACATCAGGCCAAAAAACAATAATGCAAGCACCATTTAAATAAAACTATCCGAAATAGAGACCTCGAATAAAAAATAACAAAACAAGAAAAGAGTTAGCAGGACAGCGGAAAATTGTTCTCCTTCTTGCTGAATGTAGCCATCAC